AACACAAGGTCTCTTCTAGTTCGCCGAATATACAGATCCGTTTGTAAGTGCAAGAGACATTAAATCGTGTGTAGATCATTGTATCTTGGAGATGAGGACACCCTTCTATTTTTAAAATCCGTAACACGCACGAATGTGAGACGATATCCTGTCTTAAGGATTAGTACGTGTCACACACTTGGATCTTTGTCAATTTTTATGTTTAAGTTCGTTTCGGTAAAATAAAATTCTGTAAAGTAATTTATTTTTATTTGTTTTAATTTGTTTCACATTTTTTCTCATACACAAAGATCTGATTCCCCAATAAAAGCAGGTTAGTAAAGCCTTGCTTACTATTCAACCACTTCTTTTGCTCCAACCTTAAATATCTGTCACGGAAACTTGCCGTACGCATAGAAGATTGCAAACTCCATTCTGTTTTCTGCTCCAGGAGACTGTTGAATTGAAGGCTTATCGAACATCAGAGCCAAAGGTTCGAAGTTATTTATTCTTACTGTTTGATATTGATCCTGGTCCAGTCAAGCAATGTCTAAATTCATGTAAGGCATATCCTTTGTAGTTAACATTTATTATGCACTGCAAAAAAGTAGAGTAAGCTTCACGTGAACGTAGATTATGGATGGTTTATACAACTTATTTGCAGAGACGAATTTTGGACAGAAAACTAGGCTTGTGAGTTTGCCTAGATGGAGAACCTGAGATGGGTTAAAGGTGTCAGGGTTGTAATGGATAGATTTAAAGGTCTTAGCATTTTCGTTGGATACCGGTGTGGGAGGGGTTGGAGCAGGTGTTTTTGGGTTGCCCACTGTTTTTTGCTTCTAGGTCTCTGGTTAGGCTGCTTTTCGTTGTTTTTTAGTTCTGAACCAATGTAGATTTTTTCTTCTTTCTTTTTTGTATAATTTATTCTACATGTGTACTTGAGTGGTGCCCCTAGTTATATATTATTTATTTACTTGTATATATTATATGTATATGATAAAATGCCCGTTTCAAATCTTTAGGCTGAGGTGTGGAGATGCTAGGCAAGACTGTTGAGAAACTGGAGCTTTATGAGATAATGATATTGCATTTTGATGCGTTATTAACCATTTGAAGGAGAAGGATGCACCAGAATTGCATAAACCTGTCCGTTTTCCTCTGGAGCTAGTTTCTTGGACAGTGAATGACTGTTTTCACCTTCGTCTGAGTGATGTAATGTTTCGTTTACTGCTCGTTCACTAATCATCATAGCTGGCAAGTACCATTGGATAAACATTATTCTGTTTTGATTGAGAATTATGACGACCGAGACAAGAAGACGAGAGCAATCGAGGGAAGACGCGGTTTTTTGTGTCCGTTCGTAGCGTTGTAATTCGGAACAAATTGATTAAGTCAGCCACTGAAGACGGTGATTTGCTGTTAAGAATCACTTCAAGAGGAGCTACTGCCCAAGGTGATTGTACTCGTGCAATCGGTGCAAAACAAGAGCATTCTTGGTGTTGGGCCTATTTGAAGATTCATTGATGTGACTTATTTGGTGGTGTGATGCCAATGAGCAACCCAAAGTCCCTTCCAGTTAGTTCAAACGGATTACTCAAGCACTGATCTCTCGCAACGGAGGCCCAAGTTGTTTCGGCCACATTGCCCTCCTAATCTGATAGCTCGCACAGCCAGCAGTCGTGGGGCTTTGACAGAACTGGAAGATGAGGGAATTGTTGCGGGATGTAAGGGCTGTTGAAACCTTGAAAAAGGGGGCCAAACGGTCTTGCGTTACTGATGGTTTTAATTTGATCTTTAGGTTTATTTCTTAGTTTCTTCAATGTGTGCCATTTCATGTGTCCCTCAATGACAATGAAATGACCACTTAACTCACCCATTGCCTCCGGCAGAGCAGCGTGGTGGGGTGACCCAGAAATGATGACTCACTGAAAAGCAAGCTTTATGTTAGATCTAAATCGCCAGTAAAGCATAAAACTGATGGCTCGTAATATTCTTCCATCATGCTCCTCTATGATGCGGATCTCAGTCTCTCAAGCCAATTACGCGTCCCATAGATGACACTATAGCAACTAGAAGAACTGCTCTCCTTCTCTCCGGAGGGAAAAATACCTACACTAAAATTCACAAAAGAACCAATCATATAATCGACCTAAAACTATCCCCCAATAAAAAGACGACAACCAAGTAGAAGTCGCTCTAAGTAGTATGCTGTACTACCCTCCCAAATCTTGTCTGCATTAATAATTTATCCGCAAACGCCATACTTTTATTCCTTCAGGGTCAGCTATGTTGGAGTAGAACAACGGACCTGATATTCGCTACATGACCATAGGATTCGTGTGAAGTGATGGTACGCAAAAAATATCGTACAAATGTTAACGAAGCTGAAATGATATAGGTGATGTATAGAGATAGTATCCTCAGAGGTATGTAGAGAAGTATGAGTCGTCTAATTATTCAAAATCTATGGATCGTACTGTAATGACGAAACTATATATCCACTTATTAAGAAGGATTACCAGCATAATACATCGTAAACATAGCATCATATAACAAATGCTGTGTGCGTAGAAGTAGTAGTCTCTCCATCTAAAAATTGTCTGCACAAATCAGTACTCAAGACTACTTCTCAATTGGTACTCTCTTCGTTCTATTGCGAGTGGGATTCGTGTTTTTGACCCCCTTCTTCTCCATACGTGTTCTATGTGAATAACATTACCCTATATGGAATTGCCTCAATCTAATTATGTCTATTTTATCAAGGCGGATGTCCCGGTTACATAAATCAACTGCACAAAATATAGAGGTCAAAGCCTTGAATGCGTTCTGATGTTTGTATCGCAAAACCTGTGGTCCAGCACCGCAGAGGTAGGGCCTTTGGGCAAGGAAACGTACTTGCCCTAGCTGGCTCTGTTCATGGTTCCGTGCCACCACCTGCGGATCAAGAGAAGTACATCCGTGAAAATAAGGTTCTTGATAATATTGATGATACGCGAAGTTGTACTGTTATACCTCCCATGCTACAGGCATCATAGATCCATATTCGTCATTATCTTAGCTAAATGTTTAATCTTAAATCTTTAATTCTATTGTTGGGTTTCGCTCTAGTGTCTTTTCTTGCAGGTTGCTGAAAGGGGATATTACACATTATTTTCCACTCCGAACGACCAAAGTTCAGCGTAATGGGTTATATTTCTTGGGTGTAGATGTGTTCATCCTTATTAATCCTCATGTAAGAGTAGGGGTGATAATATGTGAACTCTGATGATAGACTGCTGGATAGTCTCTACGGTTGGAATGCTGCGCGCTCTCTCGATTTGCTAAATTATAGAATATGTAGCTCTGAGTAGAGTCAAGATATTGAACATAATTACGAACAACTGTACTACAAAATAAAGATCACCAAACTATCAGAAAGAATTCCACCACAAATTAAGTTAAACAAATACTAAAATTCCAAATAGCAGGTGAGCTGATATTGAGTTTTCAAAATTAATTTATTCATGAATTTTAATTAGGTGGATACACTACCAGTCGCATAATTTAGTTGGGATTGTTGTGATTTGGTCACCATGAATTCCAATTGGATACATTGACCATGAATTTTTGAATATTGTTCCAAATAAGGACGATTGAAATATTGATTAATTTTTCAAGGGTAAAATTGTCAATTTGAAAAATATAAATTAATTTGACCAAAATAAATGTTAAAAAAGTTATTTTTAAATTTTAAACATTATTCTAGCTTACGATAAGATAAATTAGTATAAAATTGACAAATCTTTAGACATTTATTTATTTTTACAAATTAATTTTTATTATGTATTTGGATGATAACATGTAAAATTAATTTAAAAAATTAATCAGTTAATTTTATTAATTGTTTTTCAATTTTACATAATTTTATTTTTGGTGGGTAGGAAATTAATTTTTAAAAATTTTAAAATATTTTTTTTGATATTTATTTTTGTCAAGTTAATTTATATTTTATCAAATTAACTATTTTGCCCTTGAAATTAAGCAATGGTATGTTAATTGTTCTTATTTAAAATAAGATTCAAAATTTAGGGTCAAATGTGTCACAATTGAAAAGTCGGGAACTAAAGTGATACAAGCCCTAAACTATAGGGACTGTTAGTGTAATTTGCCCTTTTAATTAACTTTTGAAAAATTATAGTTCCATTGATTATGTGATAGTTAAGCTGGAAGAAAATTGTCGCTAAAACCTAAAATTCTTGTTCGATATAGGGCAAACATAAGACTAGTAAATTTTGGAAAGTTGTTGGGGGTGTCTCGTATTATTCCCAGTTTGTGGCTGCTAGGTCTGACCTAACTCTAGTTGAATTGGGGGTGTTTGGGAAGAAGCATTTTTAGCTTCTTTGGCTAAAATTGCACTAAAAGACAAAACAGTCTAAAATAACTAATAAGACAAAAATCACATCAAATCCATAATCATTTCACTTTTTCTCTCATAAACATTACATCCAATTACAAAAAAAAATCTAATTATTTTCCCAAACAAAAAATTTTTAGCTTCCTAAAATAGTCAAAAACTAAAATAATCTACTAAAATAGCAACTTCCCAAACACCCACATTATGAGTTATTTTAAGGATTAGGGTTATGTGAGTGGAGTAAACTTTTGGTATGTTCCCTCAATATAGGCTAAGCTGAACCACATATATCTGTGTTCTTCTGTGGTTGCTCTGTTTTACTTTCTCGTTTTCATTTGTTATATCATAAAAGTAATCTCACATAGCTAAACACCACCAATACTCCACAATAGTATCTTTACAAGAAGATATTTTAAAAAAGAGAAATGTTAGGGGTCATGAAAATTTTTTTATGAAAATGATCATGAAAGATTTGTGACCCTTAGATTACCTTGATTAGTGTGTGGTGCTTTAATCTAAGTGTAATCCAAATGTCACAAATCTTTCATGATTATTTTCATGAAAGACTTTTCATGATACTTAGCATTGTTGTTTAAAAAATAATAACATGATGATAAAATGCTCTTACTGAACGCTTATAGGTGTGAAGATGGCCAGCAAACACAACATCAACTTTGCGCTGTACAAACCATGGCTCAAACATCACTCTCATGGTTTCTCCTTCCATGTAATGATCGTTGTAGCTATTGTACCACGGAACATGCATAAGAACAATCAACCATGGTGTCTCACTCCTGTTTACTTTTGGTAGCTCTGCCAGAAGCCATTGGTATTGAGGAGTGTATTTGCCTAAAAGCAATTCATAGATAGCCAATCATTATATTGAATATAAAACTTAAAAGCATAAGTCTAAGAAACATGCGCAACATTCTTACCATATGCTGAATAAGAAGACAAGACTATGATGTATGCCGAAGCTCTCTTGATTGAGTACCAAAAGGGAGCAACACTATTTGACGCTTTATAAGGGACACGATAACGATGAGTAAAAGGCTTAAATGGTTTTGTTTTGCCCTGCACATTACATTTTTCTTTAAGACATTTTAAGGCATGCCAAATATTTGTACAAATAAATCAACATCTTATTGTACGTGTAAGTTCAAATTTTGTGCTTTGTGCCACTGAAATAAAGCATATTGACATGGTTTGAAGAGGAAGATCAATTTCATGACTTTGTTTTCCTGTTTTGCAGCTTGGAAATTGTATGCAATAATAAATAGGATCATACTTCGCAAAGAAAGCAATGACACAAATGATTTGCCTAAGGTTAGAAGTTACCATTTGTTTATGAGAGAGAGAGAGAGAGAGAGAGAGAGAGAGATAGGATAATTGATGCAATTTTGGTATAACTTCTTCCCAAGCATGTTGAGATTACTTATGGACCATGAAATTTCACATTAGACAAATAAGAAATCATGTTGAGAAATTTTACAAATAACAAATAAGAAATTTCAAATAAAACAAATAAACGTTTTGCAAACATGCTTACGAGTTCAGGGGCGAAATCAATCTCATGATTTCCTGCAGTCCATATCCAAGGTTGATATGCAGTGCTTCCCTCAACAAACCTGTTGGAAAAATTGGTTTATTAGGCTTATTTCGGGTCAACTTTGAGCCCAAAATTGAGTGGGCCCCAAACGTCTTTTGGGGTAGGTCCGAAAAGGTGAAGTGTTCCTTGCCGCATGGCAAGTCACACGGTAAAGACGGTTCGTCAAAACTATTTATGAGTGAATGGGAACATGACGTCGTTTTTGGCTTCGTGGAATTGAACATTTAAGTTTTAAATGTGGGTTTCCTTGTGAGGCTTGTCCCACATTGAAACTTTAAGAGAGTTTTGTTGAGTATATAAACTCTAGCTTTGTAGAAGGGAGGAGTTATGGACAAAGTGAACCATAACCCAAACCACCACATGCGCGCGCCGCCGTGGCGAGCTCGGGTGTGGGTCGGTTCTTGTATTAATTTTTTGGACAAAATTCATTTAATTTCTTTCAAAATTTATTGCAGGAATTTAATTCAAATTTGCATTTAAATTTTTGTCCAAACTTTTTCCTATCTAAAATATTCCACAACAGATTTTTCAGTTCAAACATTTTTTCTAACTGTCTAAAACAGAACAGATTCTTAACTGTCCAGACAGATTCAAATCTGGACAGTTTTGTTCCAAATCTGTTTGAATTTTGAATGATATCTGTTCATTCAAAATAGCACTTGTTCACTTCCTCAAAGTACCTGTTCGGGTCAGATATATTGCCTATAAATAGAGCCATGATTCCAGCAGTCTTGTATCCGAAAATCAGTCTGAATATTTATCTCTTTGCTGTCCATTTTGTTCTAGTGTATTTATTCTTCATATATTAGTTTTAGATTAAATTTAAGAGAGTATAGAACACAAGGTTTGGTTCATCGTACAATTTTGTTGGGTGTGCTACAATAATTTTGTGAAGATCATTGTATCCTGGGAGATAGACGCCACTCAACCGTAAGCATCGTAGCGGGGCGAATCTGTCTTAAGGACAGAGTATCACACACTCGACTTGGTCTTTGAATTATTTATTCGGTTCTACAA